ACAAGAGGGTATTCTGCCTTGCGAGGACAAAGTTCGAGCAATCAAGGAGTACAACGTGCCGTCCTCAATCAAGGAACTGAAGGCTTTTCTCGGTTTGATTAACTTCTACCGACGTTTTATCCCTCACGCGGCAGAACGGTTACGACCATTAACCGATTTACTACGCGGTAATCCACGCAAATCAGAATTGAACGATACCGCACGTACTGCATTTTCAGAGATCAAAACGGCTCTCGCTCATCCTGACCCACCAGCCAACCGCTTGAAACTTCTTAAAGCCAGTTATCTGCACCTGGAAATCATGTACTGTATCAACCCCAGCTTTTTTCAATCCTACAGTAAGAATGTTACATGTCCAATGCTGAGTCGTTTTGCATTTTAAATCTTAGTTACTGCCTAACATAGGATGGTCCTTACTTAATATCATCAGTGAAAAACTAGTAAGACAGTTCTGTTCCCCGGTATGTTACATAACATCCCAGACAACAATTGTATTTCTTAATATTTAGCTTTGTTGACCGGAGCGTTCTGCAGTAATCCCTGCTATTAAAAAAATACGTACACTTGTGTAGACTTTCATTCAAATGAAGTCATCCATTTACATAGCTTGAACAACACCAGTTATAGATATACTTTATTATTAAACATCACCAATAAATAATCCACAAGCCTCAACGAAGCAAACACACGGCGACTATGAGTGTTTCAAATTCATATATACATATATAGTGATGAGTGTTAATCGATTATGAATGAATTATTGATTACCTGTGTGTTATAACCAATGGGAGAATACATTCAAGATTGATGTGCAGACACGCGTACAATCAGATTCACACAGAGGTTTACATAGGAGATTAGGTGTCTAAATTACACTGAGTAAACAAATAATAGCATAGTTGAATGGGCTCACTAATACTATACACAATCAATACGCAATCCACACAGACTCACACGCTTATGCAAATGCACATCCACATGCCAATCCACTATCAACGACTAGTAGTTGAATGATATAGCTGAGAACCAGTCTCAATCGATTAAAAGTATGTGATATTTTTTTTCTACCCAAACATTCCAAGTCCTCAGCTTATTCCATACATTAATTTCATTTTTTTTACTCCCACCAACTCTACTTTGATATTGATCGTGATAATTTTTTAAAACACTAAACATAAGTAACGAGTAAATCAGTTAGTAAATTATAGTCCTCAAGACTTTTGTTTTTTACCACACGATATTATTCATTCCATTTATTATAATTAAGAGAATAGTTCACTTAATATATGAATCAGATTCATGATAACCTTGAGCAATAATTTCCCATCAAAACATTCCAAGCAAATCATGCTCAATGGATGATCATAAAACACTGATATGTTTCAAGTATTCCGATCGACAACATCACGTGCTCACTAAACCTATCCAAAATGAAACGGATCTCCCAATTTTATTCTTATTAACTGTTCTGATCATCTGACACATATTCAATAAGACAGTTACATAGATAACATCAATAGTAGCACAACCATTCACACGAGTTTCACAATGTTCTTCAAGAAATATCTGCTTGAGTAACGTCAAGATTTTCATCAATGATATTAGCACATATCGAAATCACATAGAATATTTAGTATCACTCAATTATGTATAATAAGCAGACACCATTCGGTAGTTATGCAATTTGTCATTACATTATTATTGTTATGTTTAGGTCTGATCATTTTGTATGGGTAAACTGTATATATGGTAGAACAGTTTGTCTAATGTTCAATCAATACTAATATCATTACAAATTTACCCCGAAATCACTCATAATTTAACATTGTACGACTTTAATGAGTTCAAAATCATGACTATTAACTTGAAGTTTCAGTTTTTTGACTAATACTGTCACATGGACACTTTTGGCTTCGATCCAACCACAAATCCTAACTGAAAATAAGCAATTTACACTTGTACGTTGTTTGCATATATGCCCAACTGAGATCTTCAGCTTTCCAGTTCTTGTCGTCTAGTCATGTGAATAATGTAGCTTGATAACGAACTCCAGGTTCATTTGGTCGCCCTAATGGTTGATAGCTAAGTAGTTACAGGCTTGAATCACGCCCTACATTGTTCAGTCTCAACTACCAGGTAAGTATAACTACCTCGCCCATTACCAGTGTGTCTTGATGTAAAATACATGAATATGTATCTGGTAAGTGATTTTTGATAAGGCGATCGTCATTTAATTCATATGAATTGTGTGCATTTCAATGATAATATATGACTGTCTAGGCCATTGTGAACAGAATGTGGTTGAAACACTTAGTTAAAGCCAATTGCTTTAACCAGTAACCAGTAACTGTGCCAATCAAATACTTGAGGTCGATCATCCAGCTAGGAAAACCCTCTCGTTACCATATTTAAAAAAAATCAAAAGAAGTAGATTTAAAAAGTATAGACATGTACTTCTTAGTTTTAGGAACCAGGATAAAAATAGATAATGATAAAACAGAACAGAAGTTACTGATTTTCTTTCATTTTTATGGTTAATCTTGCCATTTGTAGAACACCGTCACGAGTTTTATGTACACCTAAGAACCCAGTAGAATGTACAAATATACAATCAGGCAGTCCAACAATACTACTTAACTCTTCATCACGTAAACCTCTCCAACTTTCAGGTAACGGAAGTCTAAAATAATGTAAATTCGGAAACAAAATGACTTTGCATTCACTGGAATAACATATATATATATATATATATATATATATATATATATATATATATATATATATATATATATATATGACTGCGCAATAATTAACAATCAGCCATTGATATCACGAACCAACCTAATTTAGACAACATTCACTGAAAGCCATAAAGCACTGGACAGCTGAGTCGTAATCGTATGCGACTCCTCAACAGTGCGCACCAACGACCCTACCGTGGATCGGACCCTTACAAACCGATCTAGCACACAACCACTTCACCTCCAAACCACTAAGCTGCAATTCAGTGGTCCACGTCATATGTTCGCTATCGAGACCTGTGTCTGATCCTCTGTAAGTTTGTCGATGCACACTGCTAAGGACGAATCAGATGTTCAGTGCTTTTTGGTTTGAAGTGGATGTCGAAATAAGGTCGGTATATGACATGACGTCCAATAATCTGTACAAACCTCCAATACTAATGATAAATAATGATTGATTTCGGATTAAAAAAACTCGAATTATAGCCGAGAAGCTCAATAATAACAATGATTAACCAATCTCTAAGAAATTATACAACAGAATGACTAGTTACTAATGAGTACTACAACTATAATATACAAATCTCACAAAAATAATAATAATGATAACTTACCTTTGTGAAAAATTATTATGTTCATTCAATGGTATAGATTGTAAAGTCCATGTACTATCTTTACGTTGATAAATAACAAATAAAATTTGATTATTTTTTTTCTCAATTTCATTTACATTCATATTATTTAATAATAAAGATTTTTCAATTTCAAAAAAATGTGCACTCCATGGACATCCAGTACCTTCAATATAAATTATTGTACCAGATGGATCAATTGAATATCGATTTTTGACAGCATTTAATACAATTTCACGAGCTGGATACCATGTATCAGCATAGAAATGAACTAAAGTTGTAAACTCTTTATCAACTAATTGTAAAGCATTATGAAAGCAAATCTAAAATAAATGGATAAACACATATATAAAGTATTAATATCGTGAAAAAAAAACTACTATGAGTCATGATAAAGTATACTAGCGGCATTACTGTTGTTTACGAAATTCAGAGGTTGAAATGCGAATGTCCGGTGCCTTAACTGGGTTAATGCATATGGAGGATCTACGTAAGGGAATTGGAAAATCGTGATTTCAAACCACTGGTGCTTATGGGTTCCAGGATCCTGAGGCAACGACAACGAATGGCGTATGAACCAATCATGGGACTGCATTTCCTAACGTTGCTCCATTGCCTTGTGGATTAGAACTCTACGTGAAAGACTCAAAGAGTGGCCTGCTAGCGAAACCAACTGCTTCGGTTTGGGCGCCTGGGCAGTATCCTAGCCCTTACACAAATCATTGAATTTGTGTGGCGCATGTAACAATGTTTATCTGTTTAAATAAACAATAAACAAGAATTCAGGGACAAGTCAATGTGCATCATATATTATGTATAAGTTGGAATGACATGTTCACCAATATACGACAAATGTAGCTAAATAGGATTTTCCTAATTAACAGGTTTTTATTAATCCTGACTAATGAAAAATATGCTATTAATTACCGTCCTATTCATCAATTTTTTTTAATATTCATCATAAGTTGGATGCCCGGATAGATCAGTTACGGTTACGGGATTTGCACCTACAATGACAAACAATAACAGTTCGAATGTTGATGATAATAGGCACATCTCTTCAAGGTAGTAAATACATTGTATCAATGAGTAGTAAGAAACAAAGAACTAACTTATAAACCATTGAACCAACCAATTTCAAAGCAAAAAATTAAACAAAATGCGTTTCTCAGAAAACAAAAGTCTACTAGAGCAACAAAATGAAACATGAGTAATAGTTTTTGGAACGGAGGGACAAAAATTCACCGGGAAAATGAAACAACTACACAATAACATACAATGAATTGTTATCTGAAAATAATATTCACACTGATTCTTTTGCATTAGTTGTCTTAATATTCACATTGATGTTTAGGATTGCAATCGATCAGTCTGTTATGGCATATGCGCATCCTGTGTGGTGTGGATTATCTCGATATTACCATTAATTCGTAAATATAAATATATAATGAGCAAATATGGATATTGGTTATCAGTGAAATCCAGGACGCACACTTCGTCTCATGTGAGACTCGTCAGCTGGATGTATCTGAATCCCAGAGTTGATGTACACTCCCTCCGGGACTGGAATTATTATTCTGTGTACTTTCATTTGTAATCTGTGAAAAACACATATATATCAACTTACAGTTTCATCTGCATCCAACTGATTCCAAGCTGGATTCATACGACTCACTCGACTACTTAAGGATGTATTCGTAGAATATCTAGAATTCGAAATTATTAAATATCAATTTAAAAATTCAAACAACTTTAAAGGTGTTGTTGCCATTGGAACACCATTGTCGATGGCGTCTATCTCAACAATAAATGAACTATACATCTATAATAACATAAATAAAAGGGAGAAAAGGTTTTGTCAAATTCTGATTCTGAGGGAAGAAAATTGCATCCAGAAATAATCAATTTTCTAATGTATAAAAACCTACCTTATCAAAAAGTGCCGTCACCAATGGATCCATAGTATTTTCATCTCTACCAAGTATACAACTTAGTATTTTTCGACCGAAATGAACGTATATCAGACCTGCACTACTTAATTTTATATCCCAATCAGAATTTGGATGAAAATCTTTATAAGTAAGATTGAATTCTCTACAGAAAGTAAAATTTGAAGAAAAGAGGAAAAAAGCTGAATTAATTCTAACCAATTATAATACTAACCTTTGATGATGGTCGTATAAATGATTTTCAGCATTGAATACACCGCCAACGTCAACGACGATATCACACGTTGACAAAATACTTGAATCTCTCGTGCGTATAATCTCAGCATTTGAGTATTCCGGCAAATGCTTAAGCATTGCACATGCAAGTACTTCATCTGAATGGAATCGTCCATCATGTGTACCAATACGCAGTTTTGAATTAGTTGCCATTGATAATAACGAAATATTGTTAGCTACATGAAAGACGGAAACAACACAGTATAATTATTGACTGAAAGGATTGATTGAGTAAAGCCCAATTACATTTAAGTCGACTGATTTACTGAGTGACATATTGGTGTACTTGGTTTATAGCAACATCACAAGTGTGACAGGCAGTTATGCGACATGGCAGTGTATTTTTCGAGTATTAGATTTAATGGTTAAAAGTTGAACGTTTTAACTACATAGCTACTACTCCGATTATATAATAGGTTCATGTTGTCGAAAATATTTACAAAATCATGGTATTTTGACAAGCAGTTTGGAAGCGAGTAGATTTTGTCAGGTGAAGTAGTTGATGTGGGTTCTGTGTTGTATAGGCAAAACTATAAAGTAAACCACCGCTCTCAATACTTCATGAGAATGAATGTTAGAATGATTTATTCGATAATTTAATACTGACAATACATATCAACAAGTGAATGGTAATATTAACTACGAAATAGTACTTTTAAGCAAGTGTTTGCAGTGGTGCTAAATTCAACGTTTTAACTAAATTATTAGTCCTATTTAACTGTATATAAATTTTAAACTAGAAAATGCATTTTTAAAAATTGGTAACATTCGCAACATAATCTTCCTATTATAAGCAAAGATGGATAGTGGCTAGCAGTGGAATTCAGGACGCACGTTTCGTCGTATTTGGGAGTGGTCAGTTGGATGCACCCGCTTTCTATATTCTCATTGTATAATAAGTAGGGAAATGTAGATTTATTCATCATTTGCCTAACCCGAAATCCTAAATTTCAAACTAATTTTATACCTTCTTTTGTGAGAATTCATTCGTTTTACTCAAATTAAATTCTCTATTACTAATCCTTTTTTGACTATCCCTGATACAACTAGTCATTTAACATACATAATGATAACTTCCTCTCGCAGCCCTAATCGAACTTGAGATTTAACAACTTGAATCATATGAATAATCTATCGTTGAAAAGATATATCAACAAGAACAATGCCTTAAATCACTACATTATATGTTATAATGGAATCAAATAAGATAAGATAAAATGATTGCTTTTAAGCTGTTCCAAGTCGTAAACGACGTAGGAGCTGGAACAAACGTACATCAACCAAAGTCATGGTTAAGAAGACGGACAGCTGAGAAGTTAAATTAATATTAGCGTCTGTTTTATTTAAAAACAAACAAGTGTAATCTGCGTACTCCAAGTTGATAATTGAGTTTCGTGGTAAGAGAATAATCCTTGGAAAGACCGACGAAGAAAGTATTATTTCTAAAAATATAACTATGATAAATATAGAAATGAATCAAAAAATTGAACAGAAAAGTTACTGATCATGTTCTACATTAGTATTTATAAATTGAAGTGTGTACTACTAAGGAATAACACCAAATAATAATGAAGCTGCCCTGAGTAAGAAGGAGGTCAAGGTAAAGAATAAGAACACTTCCGGAAATTATTGTCATAAATAATATGAATATTGTAGTTTACAAAACATTAGTGTTAGTCAATGATAAAATAGTATCATGAGAGACCAAAACTTAACAGCAGATTAATGGACTATTCAAAAAGGACCAAAATGACTAAATAAAGTTATTTACGATACAGTAAATTTAATGGAGTTTAATTTTCTGAACTGAGTGGTGAAGTTTTCATTGTATTTTAGGACATTATCACCCTATGTGGAAAAATAACTCAGAATAGTTCACTTCTATATCAAGTTTAATCTTCATGATATTGCCCAGAAGGAAAAGATAATCTTACGACTAAACAATTAAGGTCAGAGAATGAAACCGTGCTAAAAACATCCACCTAAGTAAATCTTTACCATCTCATAGTATAGTAAAAATTAACGAGTATTGTCACTTGCAAGCAAAGTATGGATTCATGAACTCCAAACCAGATTATATCATATTACAGCTAATAATATTAACCGATCACTCAAACCAAAATGGTGGAGTACAAGGATCAAATTTCAAATCCGCTAACTGATTGCTTAATGTATTAACTGCTAAGCTACTGGATCCCCCAATTCACTCTCTAACCTCATATTTACCATGGACATTTAATTTATGTGAAAACAATGGAATTGGTGTTGACGTTACGATTGTAATTATGCGATTGTAGTTCAATAAGCATAATCCGTATGATCAGTTAGATCGATACTAAAGCTAACTATAAAGGTAAGTACTGTAAAAGTACGTAATGATGATACAAATGTATATTACAAGAAATATCTCACTTTTAATTAACTGTACATAAAATGAAAATAGATAAGCAGGGAATTTTTGAAGCTTGTTGAATTGACAAACACTTTGACGAATCTAAAAATATAAAACTGAAAGGATAAATTTCAGTTTCAACGACACAACTAATATACCTAAAAATTCATCTTTTTTTAAACAAATCAATATACAGTTCGAGTTATGCAAATAAAAACGTAATCTGTTTAATAATACTTAAATATGAGATAGATCATATTATCAACTATAAATAATAAACACTTAAAATGTCAATGGTTGAGATCATGAGTCAGTTGAAGCTAGACCACCATGGAAAACCTGGAAGCACTGGACGGCCGTTTCGTCTTATCGTGGAACTCCTCAGTAGTGCGCACCCACGGTCTCAACCCCCGCAAGATTCGAACAAATGCAACATTTAATGTTTATATGAGATGCCTTATCAAATTGAAGACAGTAATAACGAGAGATTACAGTGTGAAGTCATATGATAAAGTAGAGTAATCATGTATATTCATACTAATATGAAATCATATATAATAACTAGTTCGATTTAGTAAAGTATACAACGTGAAAGATAATAAATTAATAGTCATTGTGTATGCAAAATTACGGTATTTCATAATCAATAACAGATTAATTTCCAATCAAAATTCTTATAAACTAACACCAGTTCCTTTTCATTATAACTAGTGAAGATGCCTTGAATGGCTTACTATCAAACAGTGAAAAATACATGACAGAAAAAAGAGATATTTACAGGAATTTTCTTAATTTCTGACAAATTTTGCAGCAACTCAATGACCAAGTTAATGATTGTAAACTCAATTTTGAACTACAATCTCTCGGGATAATAACAATTATTAATCCTCTTCTGTTTAGAGTGCCGTAAATCAATTGGGATTCAAAACCATAGTCCAGTAGTCAATAATCAAATGTTTTAACCATTGAACCAATATGTTTAGCTTAAACTTAAAAGAAATCGATCCCAAAACCAAACAGTAAACAAATACTAATCAATTAGTTTTCTGTTTTATACTAACGAAAATTGATTCCAACATATTGTGTAGGATTTAATCAATCAACATATACATTTGTGCAGTAGTAGTGGCTGAGTAGTTTCAGCTATCGGCTTTCGATCAACAGGTTACCCGTTCTGAATCCATTCCGCCTATTTCTATTTGAAGGCAGGGCTAGTTAATACTACATCTCCCATACAATTAATGTGACATAAAGCTGTGTAGCATAGATCTGTACATTTTAGAAATAAAGTAAAATCATCAATGGCACTAAACATACAACATCGGACTGAAACAACAAAGATTCCAAAATACAATGGAGTAAGTTGATACGATAATAAGAAACGAATTGTATTGAAAAATATGACTACCACAGTTTACATTGTGGATTCAATTTAGTCAGATATCCATTGCAAACGAGAAAGCAATTAGCAGCTTTGTTAATTATGGTAGAGCCATAAAACGAAAGAGTAGATTAATGAAATTAAATCAGCTATCAAGTGGCAAAACCCAAAGCAAACAATTATCATATCAATTATTAAACTAGTCACTTTACAAGAGAGATTACAAGTATTATTTAATAAACGCCGAAGGACTCACTAGCTAAGTGGATAACTGATTGGGTGTTTGAAGTGAAAGAAATCGGATCGGAGTCGCAGAGGGAGTAGTCACATTAGGATCTAAGTACATACAATGGAAGAGTATCAAATACGGTTAAACACGCGTCTTAGATTCCACTGCTACCCAATATCTAACTTTGTTTTAAAAAACTTGTTACTTAATGGCAATAGCGAGACAATCTGCTAAGAACGTACATATACCAATAGACACTGATCAATCGTAGTCCTTAAAATTAACAACGGGAAGATTAAAACATATACACGTAAAAGGATTCAAATGTTTGAAAATTCACATGAAATGTATGAGTGATCGGGAATTGTGTATATTGGTCACCAATTTTTATTAGCTCAATTGTTATTAAAGCTTACCAATAACAAATAACTAAATCGACATGTAATCAATTTACTACATGTCTAGTTACTGATTAAAAGCGTATAGTATAGTTCAAACTATCTTATGGTTGCATTTGAATTGAACTGAAAGCACTTAGAATGAACAGACAACAAAAATGAACACATTCCCCTGATACTATTTTGCCAGATCATATATCACATTTGTAGTATCATGCAACAACATACAAGTACAAACAAGCAAAATTTAGTAGACATAAAAGCAAAAACAAATAATACAATTACATTTATTGAATCTATAATCTGGTGTTTAACAATAGAGCAATGTAGTTTAACCCAATAAGTTACGAAAAAAATAGAACCTATTGAATAAACAATGGCAGGGTAAAGATAATAATACACATGTTCTATTTTCAATAAATAAAAAAACAAAACAAATAGATTTGTTTATCTTTTGTACAACGTTAAGTGATCAGATGAAATGCTATCGAAACCGTATGAATAACAACAAGCGAATGAATGTATGTATATGTGTTTCAATCTTTCCCTCTACCCCTACCCCGACCACGACCACGACCTCGACCACGTTCTTTAATATTGTTGCTATCAGAAGATGAACATTGCTCTCCTCGTTGTAATTTGGATTTCTCAGTGTTTATGCGCTTTCTTGGATCTTCTTTTTTAATCTAGAATATATATATTAGATATAGAAAAAACAAAGGATGGATAACTGGTAAATACAAATATACAAGAAAAATCTTTATGATAACAACGAAA